GAAGTGTTTGTGATACATGATCTCTGAGCATTTAATAAATATCCTGGGGATGAGTCATAAAAAGCAAATTGAGCGTACTAGCGACGATCTTCGAACAGTTAGACCTGTTTGGTGTCTTACCAATGAAGTACTAGCACGTGCAAATATTTATTACGACGTGCTCGCACTGGACCGAATAACCGACCTTAATACAACGAAATGAGGGGTTATATACAGGTGAATGTGGTGAATGTGGGCGGTGCTCAGGTACTATACCGTTGGCGGTATCTAAAGTAAGGGATGAAGAGCGCACCGCACTCGCAAGCGGAATACATATAAGGTACCGCAATGACGCATTTGCGATATGCGCGAGATCATGCCTGCAGTACAAATCCAAGGGGTGCTTATCTTGGGAGTGCCTATGGTCATTGAATCAGGGCACGCCATCTTTGTGATCATCACAACAGGGGGTCGTATTTGCCCGCGATGGGGGGGGGGTCGTAAACGCATGGCCCATGTTGAAGTGGAGAGAGCGGTGATACACGGTACAAGTAAAAAGAAGCTCAAAAGGGACGATGTAGATGACAATAGAACTAGGCACTATCGAACTATTCCTAGGCCAAAAACTAAAAAAAATATTGCTGAAACTTTTTCCTCCTTCCTCACAAAAAAACTTCAAGACACTTCGCCCACCAACCCTCCCCATCTGGTCTGGGTAAATCCCAATCCACTAATCCGCAAAATCTAGAAAAAAATCCATTGCAAAAGCTACCTATGAAACCGTAGAAATTGAATCCTGAGCAATTTCCTCACAACAAAAACAAACTCAACAAAACAATATCAAATCAACAAAAACAAACAAAGTAATTCACAATAAAAAGGATAAGAAAAAACTCACCGCTCAGCTGGGAACCGGAACTATGGATTACTTTTGAATTTTGGCTGTTCGCGGTCAGCGCGCTCATACAAGCGCATTGGTGCGCGCTATTTTACGGTTTGGAGCCAATTTCAAGCCAAACACGTGAAAAGTACCCCTCATTTGAACACCCATAACTTCGTTGAAAGTGAAGCTATCGGAGAGGGGTAAGTGGGAATGAGTAGAGCTAGGTTGGCTCTTATCACCTGAATTGAGCGATTTCAAAAACGTTCCGGTTCCAGAGATTTTCCCCGTTGTGATCATCTTTGTGATCCATCTGTGATCATTTTTGCGAACCGCGAGTCGCTACGCTTTGGACGTCCATGGCAAGCTTCATACACGACCTTTCGTAAAAAAAAGAACTGTGCCGGAAGCTTGAAGATTTCTACTTTCCAGCAAGGTTTTAATTTCCTTCCTAGACCTACTATTCGAAAAAATTCCCCGTTGTGATCATTTTGTAATCACCCCCCACGACACCGAAAAATCAACCCCTCCGAGGCCAGGAAACCTCCAGTTGGCTCGAAGACTTTGGTATGCTTCTAGAAACACATGTTTTCGTCAAGCATATCAGGTAATAGGCCATTGGGCGCCAATTGCTCGACATATCAATGCGGCCATGCCATGGGGCTTCACGGCAGGTGTTTGAAAGGTGTAACTTCTAGATAGGGCTTCCCAATTGCAAGCAAATGTGCTCCTACGATCAGAAAAGTCCGGGAATGTACTTTCATCTGTTTATTAATCGTCACGTCGTGAGTCCTCTTGTTTGTTTATAAATTCATGGGGCCCTTGTGGGCGGTGATCGTAGCTCCTATCATCGCCCCTTCCTCGTACGTATTGTCAGTATGCTACACCAGCGCCAGAGTGCTGGACGTGCTTGGGACGTACGTAGGTACTGCGACCCCCCCCCCGCTCGACAGCAAAATTTTGTAAAAAAACCAGAAACTTTTTGGGAAAAAATAGACAAAGTGGTAGGAGGTTGGAAAAATCTAGGGAAGAGGTAACGTGGGGAGGGGGTCGTACTTGAAGATGGAATTAGGGGGGGGGTCGTATTTTTCAGGAAATGATCACAACGCAATGGCGTGCCCTGCATTGAATTGAGCTGCCATGTCATCATTCATTTCTCGTATGTTGGTCATATCTTAAAAGGATAAAGGATAAAGTCTTCGCCGTTGATCAATCCCTTTGTGGGATGCGGCACGCATTCTACTTCCATTCAGAATCGTAGTGGCTTATTGAATGCGATGTGGCCTATACAGCGGTGGCCAGCCGATGTACAAGTCAGTGTTTTATCCCTTCCAGACGAAAGCTGGTACGCAGATGCACCATCCCGGAGGCAGAAAGCCTTGGCTGGGGGGAAGTACATCGTAGGCGTCGTACAAATAGTAATACAAATTGAATGAGTAGATAAGGAATCAGTCATTGTCAACAAAGCATTCAGTCAATAAAAGTTGGTGACGTGAATGATTAAAGCATCAATGAGAAATTTACATAAATGGTCAATCAAAGTGGATCCAAAAGATATTTTGACAATATACCTTTATTTTCATCATTATACAATTGTGCTTGGCAATTTGTGGAACGGCCATCTTCCCACTACTGTGGCAGTGACCCGCTTGATGGCCTGCAATATAGCAGTCTTCGGAATACTTCGTCGGTGGTTCAGTAGCAGGTATGCTCGGCTGCTACGCGGGCGGCCCGGGTTTCGAACTCCTGGTCGATAGCACCAACTTTGGTTGTCAAATAATGGAGTACTACACGTAATTAATATTTCACATAGCGACGAAGTGCTAGCAGCTTTAGGCCGAAATAACCGATGCAGTTAATACAAGCGAAATGAGGGATTTATATACAGGTGAATGCCTGGGCGGTGGCTGCAGGTACATAATACCGTTGGCGTACTGTAAGTAAAGGATGAAAAGAAGGCGCACCGCGCCATACAAGATTTATATGAGGTGGCCTATTCAGTTGACAAGTGCGCGTATGATAATATGAGTTAGCTTACCACGGGCATCATTCATTTCTGTATTGCACACTATCATACCCATACATTTTTATCTGCGTTTATTTGACAACTATGGTTGTGAGTTCACAACACTGGGGCGGGGCGAAAATGGAGCGGTAGCTTCGTACAAATAGTAATGCAAAATTGAATGAGTAAATAAGGAATCATTGTTAACAAAGCAATCAGTCAATAAAAGGTTTTTGACTGAGTGATTAGAGCATCAATGAGAAATCTACATAATGGTCAATCAAAGTGGATCTATACAATGACATTTTTGACATTTACCTTTATCAGTATACCAATTGTGCTACATGTGTTGGATCCATCTTCCCATTACTGGGATACTGATCCGCTCGATGGCCTGCAATATAGCAGACCTCGCCTTGGTCGGTGAGTGGTAGAATGCTCGCTCTGTCACGCGGAGGCGGCCGCGGCGTTCGACCCCTCGGTCCGATGCACGCAAAATTTGGTGTCTTACCAATTGGAGTACTAGCGAATGTGCAATAAAGGATAAAAGGATAAAGTCTTCGCCGTTGATCAATCCCTTTGTGGGATGCGGCACGCATTCTACTTCCATTCAGAATCGTAGTGGCTTATTGAATGCGATGTGGCCTATACAATGACTTGCGGTGGCCAGCCGATGTACAAGTCAGTGTTTTATCCTCCCAGACGAATCTGGTACCAATTCACCGTCCCCGGAGGGTAGAAGGCTTGGTTGGCCTGGGCGGGAGTCGACCCGGGATTTGAACCCGGCGCCGCGCGAGTGGTAAGCGCGCCACTTGTCACTACACCACCTCCGCCTCACGTGCCAATATTTATTACAAAGTGCTAGCACTGAGCCGAATAACC